ACACACACACACACACACACACACACACACCTCCTACAGTATTAAGAACCTAGCCCCTTATCTTGACATGGTTTTTCGTAACATTCCATGCAATGTTGAGTATAAGCTTGGTAAGCTGTTTATAAAGAAATCCATCACAAAAGCATTTATTTGGTATTTTGTTTATGTTTCACAAAAAATTTTTGCTTTCATGTTTTGAAGTCTGAATGCTTATAGCAATTGAACTAGGACTCCCAGAGTCATAGTTAGATTGAATATTTCCTTGGGCATTTACCATTAGCTAGGTAGGCTTCAGGAAGCATACAGATTTGAGAACATCCTCATATTTATAGATTTGTTTTTAGAGTCAGCCAGTCACATATAAATGAAACCTATTGAGTAAAGAATACAGGCACGGTGGCTCACACCTGTAAGCATTTTGGGAGGCTGAGGCAGGTGGACTGCTTGAGCTCAAGAGTTCAAGACTAGTCTGGGCAACATGGTGAAACCCTCATCTCTACAAAATACAAAAATTAGCTGAGCATAGTGATGCACACCTGTAGTCTGTGCACTCGGGAGGCTGAAGTGGGAGGATCGCTTGAGCCTGGGAGGTGGAGATTGCAGTGAGCTGAGATTGTGCCCCTGCACTCTAGCCTGAGTGACACAGTGAGACCATGTATCAAAAACATTAAAATAGGGAGCGAGTAATACAGTATTGTAGAAAGCTTGGTTGGTGTCTACAAACATTACCTGTATCCTGTATCGCATGAATATGATGCAGTAGAAAGGTAGGTGAGCCCACTCAAAACATATTTTCCATTATTTATGTTTTCTGGACTAGAACACTTCACTGGTTCACACACAGGAGAGGAATGACTCCAAGAACCGTTAGCAAGACAGGATGATTCCTTATCACCAGCCAGAGTATATCCTTTATTACACCTAAAGAAGATAGAGGAAAATTACAGGATATAATTTGCTTTATTTTGCATACTTTTATCTGTGCCAGAAACCTCTAAAAAATATTAAGAATTTATACATATTGGAAAAGTTGATTTTTTTCCTACTGAAATAATGCTTTTAAATTAATTTTTTTTTCAAGATTGAATACTGTATATCTTCCCCACAGGGAAGTAGGATAGATTTAAGAATTTGGCTTGCCTTCAGTTTGTATCATGGGTTAGTAACTACAAACAGGGAATCCTTGCCTTGAGAGTGGTGTGGTCTAGTCTGTTTCTGAGACATCAAGAGTATTCATTAGCTAGGAGCATCCACTCTCAGCGTGCCTCAGGGGGGCGCTGGAGGTAATGATAGGTTACTGGTCAGGTTATTTAAGGATTCTAGCTATAACTACCATTAAATTATTGGATTAAGATTTGTTCACATTACATATCATTCAATTAATTACATATTAATTCAAAAATGTCCTCTGGAATTATTTTCCCACTCCCTTTCTTTCAGTGTTATATCACTACCAGCATGCCATCAACATCTTCTATAATACAGTTTTAATATTGGACACTTACCTATATGTCACTTTGCTGCCAAAGGTAAATGCTAACTCCTCAATGCAACCATTTTCTGGAATAGCCGGTTTACCACAGGAAACAGCTTAATGAAGGAAAAACAAACATGTGACTTTTTTGAGACTGTTTGTGCAAAAATCTCTGAAATCTCAAGGGGCAGTTCAAGATCTTTTTTTGTGTGTTTTCTTTTTTATTTGGAATGTGTGTGGGGTCATGTTTAAACATGAGCCTAATACTTCAGTTCAAATACAAAGAACATTGATATAACACTTTATATGTCTACAACTTACCTTTCTATGATTGCCAAACATAATAAACATAGTAACATTACTAAACATACCTTTACAATATGGTATTAGATGATTCCATTCTCCAGACTCCAAACATGTGATTTTGGTTACTCCCATCAACTGGTATCCTTCCTGACACGAAAATGTGACTTCGGCACCTACTGTATAAATGTCACCTGAGGAGTAGCCATTTTCTGGATTTCCTGGAGCCTTACATTTTATAGGTTCTAGAAACAAACAGTTTTGGTGGAACAATAAGTGGCTTTCACACAACCATGCAAAGTCTCACAGTAAAAGAATTCCACTATAGTTAAGAGACCTGTTAAAATCACAAGAGAAAACCTCATGAAGGGAAATGCATGAGGGCCCAGAGACACATTGGACATTAGACCAGAACATACATTTAATAAGAATTGAAGCAACAATAATTTGAAACAGCAATGCCTAACAACAATATACATAATTTTTCTGGCCCCAAAAGGTAGGCTCTCATTGGGAAAGTAGCGGTGGTGCTAGGGCGTGGCTTAGAAGGGCATTAGCCTCTTTCATCTGTTCCCTCTTCATACCGTTTTTCAGAGCAATTGACTTGGTGTCAGGTTGATGGAAAGGCTGAATAAAGCAGAATTAGGAATGTTTCCAGCCTCCCTTCCCAAATAGTGTGGGCTCTGGGCTCTCCCTATCTATAGATTCAGGGTCAGTCACCACTGCTATAATAGGAAGGAGAAAAGGCTAAAGCAAGGTTTGGGCCAGTGTTGAGCAAGAAAAGTGAATATAATACTTGATTTCTCAAAAAGGGAAGATATATTGCATCAATCTTTTCAAAGGCCATTTGGGCTACATAAGTCAAGGAGTTTAAATAAATTCTTAAAGTAAATGCAATTATGAGCTGATTTTGAGGAAAACAGCCAGAGGTAAGCACAAAGATGTATGTCCAAAGATGCTTATTAAACTGTTTTCCATAGTGAATATCACCTAATATTAACATATAGAGAAAAGTTACTTATGGAAAATCCATAAAGCGAATTATAAAACAGGAATTAAAATCCTGCTCTCAAACTATTTTGTGACATCAAAAAATTTGCCAGATATAATATTACATGAAATAACTAAAATAAAGAACTGTTTATATGGTGTGTTTATATAGACATCTTATTGTTTTCTGGGAGTTACTCCTCATAGCAAATGAAGAAATACAACAATGGGTTGAGAGATGATCTAGTATTATCAACGCTATTTCAAAATATCGTAATGCAAGATGTCTTGGGGAGGCAAGATATCTATTTTTTTTCAATGATACAATTTTGTGTGACCGAGGCAGAGGAAAGATATTGATAGTGAAGACGTGATAAAGCATCTTCCTTGCTCTGATTAAGGCAGAGAGGTCACTGATTATATTTCTATATCAACTCTATTATTCTTGTACTATATGTAGACATTTCAACATTTTAGCAGCATAGTCAGCTATCAGTTTTGTTTCTCAGAAATTGGGAATTTGGGGGAGGCACAATGCTACTTTAAAGCACTTTTAGTTGTTACTGATGTGTCTTTTATAAGATCTTTATCTTGTCTGCCTACCTGTATGCCCTTCGAAGTTGAAACTATTATCTTACTTAGAAATAACATACACTTAAAACATGTGCTTGAATAAAACACTGGAATGAGGAACTTCTAGTTCTACATATATTAGTTACCTGCACAGTTTTTCCCATCTCCTGTGTACGGTGGAATACATGAACATATGTAGGATCCATCTATATTCAGGCAAGAAGCATGTTCACTACAATCTGATCCAACTGCACACTCATCGACATCTAAAATGAAGACAGCTTATAAATTTTAAAGCTGATTCCTTTTCCTTACGTATCAAACATCTGTTTTTACTTTTAAATCATTACATATCACGTAATGCACAACACTTCATATATTTGTATAGAATTTAAATATAACAGTCATAATCACATTGCAGATATACAATAAAAGCTATTATTTCCCTAGTTTATAGGTGGGCAAGTATAAGACAGGGATATATAAATATAGTTTTAATATGGAGCCTGATAAAAATTTAAAACATTTCTGGCACCTCTACATACAGCTGCTTTGTCACCATGGCTTGGCCAGAGCTTACTGGGATGAGATAAAATTAACAAAGCAATGCCTCAAGAACCTCAGGAATTTGGGATGATTGTCATCTACAGAGCTAGAATAATCTCGTATAGTAGTTGCCAACATTTATCTCACCAAGGCAGGATGGTGAAACGCCGTTCCAGCTCCCATTATCTGTACAGAACATCCTTGAATCACCCAATAGATAGTAGCCATTGTTGCACTGGTAGGTTACTGTGCTGCCAGCATAAAAGTCATCAGCTGAATGGAAGCCATTCTCCAAAGGAGGTGGCACCCCACAGCTAATGCCTGTAAGGTGACCAGGAAGAAGACAACGACATTAAGAGCAAAATACTCAAAGAACACTTTATATTAAACTAGCAGTTCTGTTAAGCATGACATTTTTACTGTATGCAAACATCAGACTGAGTGTGTCCTAGGGATAGCAGCAGCCTGAACCCTCAGCATCTAGCACACTGCCTGGCTCATAGTAGGCATGCAATTCATTTATTCAAAAAACATTTACCCACTAGACGCTGATAAAGTTTGGATATTTGTCCCTGCCCAAATCTCATGCTGAAATGTGATCCCCAATGTTGGAATCAGGGTCTTGTGGGAGGTGTTTGGGTCATAGGGGCAGATCCCTCATGGCTTGGTGCTGTCCTTGCAATAGTGAGTTCTCACGAGATCTGGTTAAGTGTGTGGCAACTCTTCCTCCACTGTCTCTCTTGCTCCTGCTCCTGTCATGTGATGTGCCTACTCTTGATGCCTTCTGCCATGAGGAAAAGCTCCGTGAGGCCTCCCCAGAAGCTGAGCAGATGCCAGTACCATGCTTCCTGTACAGCCAACAGGAGTGTGAGCCAATTAAATCTCCTTTCTTTATATATTACCTAGTCTTAGGTGTTTCTTTATAGCAATGCAAAATGACCTAACACATAGACACTGTTCTAGGTGCTGTAGTTACAACAGTGAGCCAAACAAACAAAATCTCTGCCTTATGGAGCTTTTTATCTAGTGGGGTAGATAGGCAAAACAAATAAGCAAAGAAACAAAACAGGTGAATATATCAGGTGATAACAGGTGCTTATCTAAAATAGCAGTCTAGCTTCCACCCAACCCTCATTTTTGTATTACTTTTTTTTAAGACAGGGTCTAGCTCTGTCACCTACACTGGAGAGCGGTGGTGCAATCTCGATTCATTGCAACCTCTGCCTCCTGGGCTTGGTGATCCTCCCATTTCAGCCTACTGAGTAGCTGGAATTATCAGCACACATCACAATGCCTGGCTAATTTTTGTATCTTTTGTGGAGATAGGGTTTCATCATGTGCCCAGGCTGGTCTTGAACTCCTGGGCTCAAGCGATCCACCCGCCTTGGCCTCCCAAAGTGCTGGGATTACAGGTGTGAGCCACCACGCCTGGCCACACTGTATTTTCCTGGCCTCTTTTGTCTTTCTTCACAGCTCTTACTTCTAGCCCTTACCTTTATTATTTACTATAAATACATATTATATTTACTTATTTATTTTCCTGTTAGAATCCTAAACTATTAGAATCTAAACTACGTAAGAATAGGGGCTTTTTCCCCAACTGCTGCATCTTGAGGACCTAGATCAGTGCCTAGCACATAATAGGTACTTTAAAAGTTGCTGAATAAATGAATGAATGAATGCACTCGACTGAAGACGTCTCTCCCTGTTTTCCCCTCCAGCAATGACCCATCTATATCTGGGCCTCCACCTATAGGGTGTGTCTTTCCATCACTTTCAGTTCCTTGCACACCTTGGATGCATCCACAAATGGTCCCTTTGGATCCTAATCACCCATCTCCTTCACGACGCCCAGCACAGTTCATTAAACAAAGAAAAGGTTCAATGAATATTTGGTATATTTGCTACTGTGAAGTATTCACCCTTTGTCTAGCATTCCTGAAAAGAGTTCTTATGTTTTCAATATTTTTCAAAAGTCACTGAAATGGCCTCAAGAAAGGCAGCTCACGTTCACAGTGAGGAAGTGGTTGTGTCCACTGTCCTTGATTCAGACAGTACTGCACAGGGTTCCCGACCAGCTGGAAGCCTGGATCACAGAACAGACTGATTTTGGAACCTGGCTTTAAATCTTCTGATGCAGTTCTCAGATGAGGCACTGACCCTCCTAAGCGTGGGCAATCTGAGGGCAAAGAACACAGGTGCAGAGCTTGTCAGCAACATAGTGGCAGCATCACCAAGTCAATGATTTCAAGCTGTATTCCGTATCAGCATTTGAGAGCCACCTTACTGATGTGAAAACAAGTTAACATATAACCAGATCACTGGCAAGCAAAATTACTTTAAAAAAACATTTGAATCAACAACTCTCCCTCTTTTAAAATATTTTAGGAATGTTAATGAAATGTTCTTGTAAGTTATCAACAGCCATAAATTCTAGGACAGTGTAAGAAACTCATTTAAATACATTTAATTTCATGATACAGTTTTGATAATTCAGTTTTAGTGTGTGGATTGCAACATCCATTGCTTTTCTCCCTGTGCTACCTGTTCCTAGATACCTTCTACAAATTATGGAACCAAAAGAGTACCCCATCTCAAACAGGTGCATAGTATGTTGGTACGCACTGAAAAAAATAACCTCATCTCTTCTCTAATCTTATTTTCCTGATTTTATTTTACTTTCATCCAAATTTCCTCCCTAATTATATCTTGTTATACAGAATATATTTTAGCATTAAAGAAAACAAATCCTTTGGATGAAAATAGGGTAAGTATGAATTACTGGTTACAAAAAGTAGATTGACAGGCACATACAATTTGACTGATAGAGAATTCTGAATTGTCTCCTTTTGCTAGACAGTCCCAGGGCGGTCAAGAGATAGTGGAGTCTAGGGAAGAAGGAAATTCTCACCAGAACAAAATATGCTCTTTGAATCGATCTTCACTTTCCCCATAATTCCCGACAAGAAATCGGGCCATGCTAACACGTTTCCTCTACTGAGTTCCTCTGGGCAGGAGGTAGCCAGTGACTTCACCTGAAAGTTTAATAACACTTTAGATAAGCCTTACTTGTTCCATTAAGATTGCGTTATTATATGTTATTTTAGTCCTATTGAAAACATTCACAGATTTTTTAGAGGTGGGGGTAGAGGGAAGCAGGTATGATTTCAGGGGCAGCAGGAAATTCTCTTCCATTTCCCTCTCCCCCAGCTCTATCATTCCCTCTCCCAGCTACTTCTCCCACTAGACTCGTAGTTGCCTGAAATTTTGAAATCCTACACCTAGAATTCCCTATGTAAAGCCATGTGGTTTGTTAAGGGGTTGTAGAGGCTCTCTCCTTCTTCATTCTATGTCTTTGACCTCTGACACAGAAGAGAGGAAGCTGAGGCTTAAAGAAGTCAAGCCTCTGTAGTAATAAGAGCGAACATTTATAATAAGAAGATCCTTTACTATGGATCAAATAATACCACAAATGCATATGTAGTATTTTGTTCAATCTTGTCAAAACTCTGCTATGTAGTTCTATTTATCCATCTTTTATAGATAAGAGAACTGAAACTTAGTGAGATGGAATAACATGTTCAAAATCATCACAGTGAGTTTGGTGTAAGACTGGGATTTGAACCCCAGTTGTTTGACTCTAGGCTGGTTTTAGCCACTAGGTCGTATGTTGCTCTCTATGGATGATCTTGTGCCAGCCTTAAAGTTCTGCATGTTTAGTCAGAGAGATTTGAAGCATTATTCTTTATGATTTCTCCTGCTCTCTTTGATGATATTCTTAAATTTTATTGGAAAACATTATTTTGCAAAATCTAAAATAATTCCAATAAAATTTAAGAACATCACCAAGAAACTAAAAAGGGTGTTCACTGAAAATTACTGTAACTTCTGCCTAACTTCCTCTATAATCACAGGATCAAATGATACTGGTGATAAATTCTGATACCCAAGAGCTTACAATAAGTTATGTCATCATTAGGCTGTTCGCATTTTTACTAGGTTTGTACCTTTGCATCTCATTACTGTCATACACTGAAAATGGAATTGACCTGCTGTGGAGACAGGACATAGTCCCAGAGGTTGAGTTGGCTTATGGAGCCCACAAAAGACTCAGCTGGGCTGAATCCCTCTCCTTTTTTGTCTTGCTCTTGCCCCAGAACTAATGCACCACCACCTAGAGAGAAAGAGAAAGAAAAGGAGGAAAACTGGCCTGATGGTCTGTTATTCCTAAATCTAAATTTAATGAAAGCATGACTGATACAAATGAAAGAAAATTACTGAAAAGCAAAATTCTATAAATTTACTGCAGGTTTTATCAATAAGAACAAATTCAATGTTTTATATAGCAACTTAAAAATAGACAGGATTTAGAATGTTGATTTATAAATCTGTAACTACAAAAACTGTATTCAATACATATATATGCATATAATATTTTATGTTGACAAATTAAGTATTATTTTGTTTACTTTCTTGTAGAAAATCACCCTCCATGGAAGTGACTGCTATTTTTCTTATTCCTTAAGCTACAAAGATATAATTTCTATCACCAAATCCAGGGAACTTTCTAAAGTTGCCAGGGGTCTCCTAATTGCCAAATTCAATAGAAATTTCAGTATTCATCTCTGTGACTTCTCTGTATCATCTGTTTTGGCTAAGCATTTCATTCTATTCAACTTGCCTTTCTGGGTGTGCCAGATAGTCTGTGTCTGCACTGGCAGACCTACCCTCCACCCTTCTCCACTCAGCTTTGTGTCTCAAAGGTTGTCCCGTGAGCTGCATCACCCGGCTTCCTTGTCTCCTGGCTTCTCTTTGTTTCTGGCCAATGAAGAGCCAGCATGAGATAAGAAAATGAGATGAGAGAGAAGTTGAATCTCCTGTATCCTCTCCTGCCAGGCAACCAGCTAGGAGTGGCTTTTCCTTCTATTTCTGAAGAGATTAGGGGATTCTCTCCAGTGCTACAGGTTCCTAAGTTCTGGCAACAATGCCTAACCCTTGTCACTTCAGGCCCATCCCCTTACACCCATCTGTTGTTGCTAGTCATTTGTGTTTTACTGTCATATTTTGGTCTTCTTAACCACACTCACACCTTTGAAAACAGCCCTTCATTAAACTCACTTTAGTGACTACCTGTTTCCTGCCGGGAGCCAGACTTGAGTACACTATGCTTGATTTCTATCAGAGCATCCTCTCCTGGTTTTCTTTGAACCTTTCTGCTCATTCTCAGTCTCCCTTCTCTGCCTGCCTCTTAGAAGTGATCCCAAGATTCTACCCCGTGACTTTCTTCCTTCCACTACTTTTTTTTTTATTTCAGTATTTTTTGGGGAACAGGTGGTTTTGGGTTACACAGATCACTTCTTTACTGGTGATTTCTGAGATTTTGATGCACCCATCACCCGAGCTGTGTAAACTGTACCCAACGTGTAGTCTTTTATCCCTCACCCACTTCTTACCCTTCCCTCAAGTCCCCAAAGTCAACTACTGTTTCAATTTGATCTCACTTGGTTAATCTATGTCCATTGATCCCTCCTTCATGATTTCCCAATCTACATGTTTTTAAATTGTATTAATAATTTTAAAGTTAATACATGCACAGATTAAATTATAAAGAACTCTTCTTACCTAGAAGTAATTATTCAATAGTTTTTTGTATTTCTTTCCAGGTTTTGATTTTAATTTTGTTCTAGTATATGTATATGTATATGTATGTGTGAAGTATTTAAAACACATAACTCGGTATCATACATAGTCAGAATGTTTGAATATTGTTCAAGGTGTTGTGAGACCATCTTGAACATGTTCCCATTTCATGAGTTTTAGTAGCTATCCTTTTTTTTTTTTTTTTTTTTTGAGACAGAGTCTTACTCCCTTACCCAGGCTAGAGTGCAGTGGTGCGATCTCAGCTCAACACAACCTCTACCTCCCAGATTCAGGTGATTCTCATAGCTCAGCCTCCCGGATAGCTGGGATTACAGGTATGCACCACCACGTCTGGCTAATTTTTGTATTTTTAGCAGAGATGGGATTTCACCCACCCTCACCACCCATGTTGATCAGGCTGGTCTCCAACTCCTGGTCTCAAGTGATCCAGCCACTTCAGTCTCCCAAAGTACTGGGATTACAGATGTGAGCTACCACGCCTGGCCTAGCTATGCTGTTTTAACATGTGAATGGACAACAAAACATAATTTGCTTAATTAATTAAACAGCCCCTTATTACTGGATGTTGGCCTTGTTTCTAAGTTTAATATTAAAATAACACTGAGATAAACATGTTTATTTAAACATACTTATATATATGTTCAAATTATTGATGATTTCCATAGATTTATTTCTAGTAAACTGATGGCTGCAGGCAAAGAATTTCTCTGAGGCTTTTGATGCAAGGTTTCTAAATTGCTTCCCAGAAAAATTGTATCAACTTACATACTTGCCGGTGCTCTATACACAGGTTTGCTATGCTGAATCCTAGCCAATTTTATGGTGTCACTAAAAACAACTTTGCCAATTTGATATAAAGCAGTATCAGACCTATATCTTTAGCTGTATGTATTTGTGTGACTAGAAATTCAACATAGACCTCAAACTCAATATGTCTAAAACCATATACATAATCTTTTCCCCCATCACCAACTCCTTTTCTTAGAATTCTTACCTTAGCCAACAGACTCTTCAATAAACTTGGTCAAACTGAAGCCAGTCATTCACTGCTATGCACTGAACTGTGTCCCCGCCAAATTCATATGTTAAAGCCCTAACTCCCACCATGGTGGTATTTAGAGATGGAGCCTTTGGGAGGTGACTGGATTTAGATGAGTTCATGAGGGTAGGGCCCACATGATGGGACTAGGGCCTGTATAAGAAGAGACACCAGAAAGTTTGCTCTCTCTCTCCCTGCCATATGAGGATACAGTGAGAAGGTGGCTGTCTACAAGCCAGGAAGGGGGCTCTCACCAGGAACGAACCATACTGGTACCCTGATCTCAGACTTCTAGCCTGTAGGACTACAAGAACATTAATTTCAGTTATTTTTATTTTTTTATTTTTGAGGTAGAGTTTCACTCTTGTTGCCCAGGCTGGAGTGCAGTGGCACGATCTCACCTCACTGCAACCTCTGCCTCCTGGGTTCAAGCAATTCTCTTGCCTCAGCCTCCCAAGTAGCTGGGGGCCTGCCACCATGCCCGGCTAATTTTTAATTTTTTTATTTTTAGTAGAGATGGGGTTTCACCATGTTGGCCAAGCTGGTCTCAAACTCCTGACCTCAGGTGATCCACTTGTCTTGGACTCCTAACGTGCTGGGATTACAGGTGTGAGCCACTGCACTTGGCCAATTTCAGTTATTTAAGCCACTTTGTGTATTTTTTTTTTTTATGGTAACCTAAGTGGACTAAGACAGCCATGAAGGGTGTCAATTGGAACTCTGCAATATTTATGGATTCTCAATCATCCTGGCCATCCTTATGCCTCTGGTCAGTAAACTATTTCCTTAGGTGGTTACTGTAAGAGTTTCTTGGTTTTATTTTGCTGTTCCTTCAATCTACCTTTTACTCTTCCATCACTGTTGATATTTTAAAGATAAAAATGTTTTTTTAACCAGAAAAGAAATATACATTCATTATGAAAATATCATAAAATAAAGAAGAAAATAAAAATCACCTGTAATTGCGCCACTTAGAGAAGAGATTGTTGAAAACAAGAACACACTAAATTAAACCAACACAAAAAAACCACTGCCCCACCTCACTTGATAATGCCATTTCCTTTTGAAATACCTTAATGTCTCTTAATTCAACTGAAGGAGAAAGTGTGCATTTCTTGGGGGACATAAACAGGCTCATTACAGCCCAACACTATGTTATGTTTTAGCTTCTTTCTCTATCATGTCTTCCTTTTCTTCTCCTCTATATACACTGTGCTACTGCTTTGGGGATCAGTCAACCATTCCTCCTCACACAAAACCCATTCATGGCTCCGTGCCCTCTGCACGCAGAGCTCCTTCTGTCTGAGCTGCCTTTCCCTGTTCTTCTGACACATCCTTCAAGACACAGGCTGGTAAATTCAGCAGATGTTTATGAAGCTACCAATAATGTGCTGTCTACAATACCAGGCACTGGACTTACACTGATGAAAAAGGATTTCTTCTTCTAAGAGATAATTCTAAGGGAAAATTCATACATATAGTGTGGTTAATGCAGCAGTGGAGGCATGCAGAGTGAGAGAAGAACTGAAAGAAAAAGCTCAATGAGAATGGGCTGGGCTCAGGGAAATCTTTCAGACATGGATCTTGAGGATTTAGAGTTAATCTCATGCAGAAGGAAGATATGGAGAGTTTCTAGGCAAAGGAGTGGGTAGACTGCAAGAAAGAATTCTATAGTGTGATGTGTATGGTAGATACTAAGGGTGTCCATCCACATCCCCAGAGGTTCCCTCTACCATTGTGAGTGCTACAGTTTCTAATGGTCCCACACCTACTCCATGTGTGGACATGTATCAATAGGCTAATCTAAGTGGAAAAGGCAGAAAGGGACATGAAGAGGGCACAGCCATAAATTAAAAGAGTTAGGCTCTAGGAATGCAATTTGAGAGACTGGTTTTAACTCTTCTGGAATTCTCTGTTTCTTCATTTCTAAAATAGTAGCATAACTACTCTATTAAATTCACATGATCATTGTGACAAAAACATTGAGTAAATTTTGTAAAAATATTTGGGCAATTAGGCATAAATGGTATTACAAGGAAGTTTTGGTTTTGGCACTGGCTTCCTGTTCAAGTATATTTTACAAAGAGGCAAAGGATGATAGACCACGTTTTAAATTTATCCAGAGTGATTTCATCAAAACCATCTTATTAGATATTGCCCTAGTATTATAAAATAATTACATGATTTTCAAAAGCAACCTCTATATTAATCTCCCAATACTCCCATCTTACAACAATCTGTCTAAAGTTTCTAATTTGTCTGTTTCTCTTTCCTTCCCCTCCAAATTAATCTCCCCAATCCATTTCTTTATAAATCACCCTTGCTCCCTAAATTCATTAAATGTCCTAAGCCTCCTTCTCTGCCTTCTCCTTATAGCAAAATGCATGTGTCCTTGACTCTACAGCTCTGTCCTTTGGGTCTTCCATTTCTGGAACCTCAACACCCAGATGGTGCCTTACTGGCTGGATTGGCGCTTGGCAAATGCTCAGCGTGTGGATACACATCCAAGGATCTGTCTGTATGTTTCATTCATCTCTTCAGTTATTCTGGGGTTTAAGGAAGAGTGGGCTTTCACTCTTATTTTTCATTTGTCCCAAGTTTTTCTCCCAGGAGAAGCATAATAAATGCTTCTTAGATATTAACTCAGATATTAACTTTCAGTGTTGTCCCTGCACTTGGGAGTCCTTTTGTCCTCTGATTAGAGACCTCTTTATTGTTTAGGAATTTTCATATACACCCTATTACTTCTTTCTGCTCATGCCCAGAACCACTTAAGCTGCCCTTCCTGCCATCTCCCCCTGCCATCTTAAAATCGATCAGTGACTCCCTATTGATTTTAGGGTGAAAACCTCAATCCTTAACCCACGCTACATGGCTTTATGTGATTTGGCTATGTCTGCCCTCTCTACCTGATTGCCTTGCCTTCCCTATTTCAGCCTGCATTTCAGATACATCAATCTTTTTCTAGCTCTTTCAGCAAGGCCCAGTCCCCTTCGCTAATTAGTGCCTGACCATCCTTGAGAGTTAGGGATATCTCCACAAGCCTCCATGGACTCCCCATTCTACATCAGCTCCCTGGTTACAGGCTTTCATAGAATGATGTTCCTTTCCTCCATAGTGCTTGCCTCAGTGTGAAATTACACATCATTTAGTGTGATTATGTGATGAACACCTCACTCCCTGGCCACAATAAAAGCTTCTGGAGAGCAGGGACCACATAACTTTTGCTCATCATTGGGTTTCCGGTGCCTTGCATAGGTGCCTGGCCCTCCTAGTGAGTGCTTAGGACGTATTCTTTAAATTCACAAGTAGATCAATTTTGGTTTGATCCACATGGATCTTCGTAGTATTAAAAGTGAAACAATGTATGGACAATTATTTTTCTTTTTTTTGAGACAGAGTCTCTCTCTGTCGTCCAGGCTGGAGTGCAGTGGTGTGATCTTGGCTCACTGCAACCTTTACCTCCTGGGTTTTCAAGCAATTCTCCCGCCTCAGCCTCCCAAGTAGCTGGGATTACAGGCACCTGTCACCACACCTGAATAATTTTTTTTGCGTGTTTTTAGCAGAGATAGGGTTTCACCATATTGGCCAGGGTGGTCTCAAACTCCTGACCTCGTGATCCACCCGCTTCAGCCTCCCAAAGTGCTGGGATTACAGGCCTGAGCCACTGCACCCGGCCAATAATTTCTAATAAATAAAATAAGTATTGTATTTGAGGCTTTGCAAAGGCATCTCATCACATTTTTATGAAGTTTAGTATTTTTGTGCTATATTTATTAGTATACTTATCCTAGTTTCATACAACTTACTTCTAGAATATATTAGTCAGTTTCTAATACTTTAATTCATTTTTGTCTATTTAATTTTCTGTTACCTAGGCACTATTTTGTGTACCTGAAACAAATGAGCAAAGTAAAAAGTAATGTCATATGCATATATTTCTATAGATGGAACAAGCTTATTGCCATGTACAATGCTGAGAACCTGGGTCACCTAATGAAATTTAGTTTGCAATTCTTCAAATTAAAACTCCTGGGATATTTATTAAAAAGTATTTTTTAGAAGACAGGTCAAGATCTATTTGAAAAGGGCCATAAAAGATGGATAGCCGTGGTCTTGCTTATATACTGATTACAAAACAAAACAAAACAAAACAAAACAATCCTTAAACAAAAAATACCAGTAATTAATCTCCTTGGAAGACAGTTTAGCAACCAGCTGTTAGTTCAGCATGCTTCTTGGTAGTCTTAATGTAGATCTTCAAAGGCATTTCTCACACAGAGAGGCAAACAGCTTACCTAGGAAAAAAGCTTCTAATAACCCACAGTTAGGATAATCAGGGAGTAGGAAATGAGAGAGAGAGAGCCGTTAATCTTTGTTTGAAACCAAGGACAAAAATGCTAGCAAACCTGATGTCCATTTAAGGAGCATCACCTCTACAGTTCAACAGAATTATACTCATTTTGTTAAAACATACCAGGTATGGGCAAACCAACAGAGAGGCCAGTACCACCGTCAGATAATTTCCCATCGATGTAGACTTTCCAGACGCCATTGGCACTTGTCCAAGTGATTGCAATATGATGCCATCTGCCATCATTCACTGAGGGACAATTTGTTATCTTTTCCTTGCCATTCACATAAAGAACCCAGCTGTGGAGAGAAAGATTCCAGGGAATGTAGTCATTAGCCATATGTTGCAATCCTTACTGTGGGGCATGTTACTATTTTTCCTCTTTTCCTTTTCTTTGTGGGTAAAGTACTTTGTGTAAACCCATTACTTTTTTTTTCTCCACTTGGTCACATTTTGTAAAAGCAGATTTGATTTACTAATTATACTTGATTGCAGCTCACTGAAAATTGGTTTGTGTTCTTAAACACTGAGGGGTAGGAAAAAGTCTTAGGATGAGCCAGGAGAAGTTGCTCCAATTTGAGACAGTTTACCAACTGGCTGTTTCGGAGAGAATGAATCAAGAATGGAAAGGGTGAGAATTGTGTAAAATGCCAGACTGACATCCTTCTTCCAGAATGTAAGTTTCTTAAGACCAAGAACAAATTTCAGATGTTTCGTAGATGCTTCATCAAACAAACAATAAGTCTGTTTGATGGTTGCTGCTATGGTATGAATATCTGTATGCTGTCTTGTGTGCTCTCAAAATTTATGTATTGAAATGTAATCACCAATGTGATTAGGAGATGGAGTCTTTGGGAAGTGATTAGGTCATGAAGGCTCTGACGAGACCACTTGCACCTTCACCATGTGAAGACATAGTAAGAAGGTGCCATCTGTGGACAGGAAAGTAGGGCCTCCCCAGACACTAACTATGCTGGCACCTTGATCTTGAAGCCTCCAGAACTGTGAGAAATACATTTCTGTTCTTTACAAGCCACCAAGTCTATGCTATTTATTGTAGCAGCCTGAATGGACTAAGACAGTTGCTCATGCAGTCATATGTCAGACAAAGTATGCCAATCCAAAGAAAAGAATATTTGAAACAACAAGAATGGCCAGCCAGAAGATGTTTCCAACAACTGTGTCATTCAGGGAAATAACAAAGCTAATAAGCAGTTTAAAGTGAAAAATCTTCAAAATCAAATGGAGAAAAAGAAACGATTAGAGAAAGTTGATGATGAAGATAAAAATTCATTGACTACTTCTCCCAGCATCTTATCAGATCTTGTTTACAGATGTTTATGAAAAAATATTTTTGCGATATTAATGGTTTCCTTTCTGCATTTTTCCAGTTTCTCTCCTTATTCAAGGAGGCAACAGGTTCTCTCTTTATATATATTTTGTTTCAAAGGAGGGTTTTTGCAAACTTCTTGGATTTTTGTTTTTTAACAGATCTAGTAAATTAAGAAGAATAGTATTTGAGGATGGGAGGTTTCTACTAGAATAGTGAGATTCCCCTGGATTGGGGATAGAAAAAAAAGCTCAGTGGGTTTTGAACACCAACAATGTGCTCATAAGTAGAATTTCGGCGGATCTGAGAGGAAAAGACCATGTGGTGCACCGCAGAATCTAACCACATTGAAGTTATGAACCTGAAGTTTTGCCAAGGATTTCATATGTTTAAAAAGCAGTGGTTTTAAAGGGACCATAAAGCCTGGGTCAGTGGACAGCTCAGTGATAAATAATGTGGACAGTTGACCAGTGATGGAAGTTCTGCTTAAGTCTGTGACTCTTTGGCAAGACTCTGCATACAACTAAGGTTGGCTCTCCTGACAACCCAGGGGGATGGGGCCCTGAAGTTGGAATTAATGGATTCTAAAAAAATATGCACCCTGAGTTTGTATACTGATTTGTATGCAATACACTTGTCTCCCAAGGGTCAATGATGTCACTGAAATCCCTTAACTTTTAGAGGTCCTATTATATAAAAGAAAGAGCATCAGTATTTGAGTCAGAGTTTGAGACTTAGCCCTGCTACTTCCAAGGTGTGAGATTTGGGGCAAGTCATTTAGACTTTCTGAAACTTTATTCTACTGTCTGTAAAATGGGCACAGTTCCTCAGGTCATTGTGAATATTAGAAGAAGTAATACATATGAAAATACTTAGTAAACAGCAAAACACAATACATGTTTGAGGTATTATCACTAAAATTTTACCTTCTTACAGAACTTGTTCAGATGTTCCATTTGATTATTGATATCCTGCTGTTTTCTGGGAACAACTGACCCTCTACTTTCCCATTTCCCATCCTCAATGTCAGTTCTAATTTGGCTCCAAGATAAGGTCTTAAGCACAGCCTTCCCGACACTTCCGCTTACCCATTATAATCAGTCAGGAGCAAAGTATTGTCGCTGCCATTATCAACTGCATAGGAGATTGGTGTTCCATAGTTCATGTCATCAGAGGATTTCATCCAGAAGGTACAGGTTAGAGCATGGAGAGATGGGAGCACACCATCTAGCATGACGTATCCATAGATGCCAGAAACTTCAAAATCCAGGTTAAAGCCTGTAGACTGTTCTGTAATGAATCAGAAAAGTGTGCAGACGGTGGCACTTGGAAGACATTTCCAATTGTCAAAGGAAGCAGTGCTATTGTAAAAGAAGCTCATTTCAGTGAATATGATTATTTACCTAAGAAGCAGTTTCAAAATTAAATAAATATTATTTACAAAATACATAGTGCATTCTTTTAAATAAAATAACCAGTGAGTATACAAGATAGGAAAAGCATTCAATAGTGAAAGGAAGCAGAGAAACAGGAAGTAGTTGGAAGGAGAGGTGGACCTGAAATGCTACTAAAGCCAGGAGATACTAAAGCATGTCTGTATGCTAATGAGAATGACTCAGTAGAGAGGAAGTAATTGATGTCACAGGAGAGAAGGAGGAGGATCTGCAAGGGTAACATGCTACCCTATTTAGAACTCTGGCTTTTCCCTATTTCATGAGCAATTCAGCTCTGCCCCAAACCTGCATAGCCCACTCAATAAAACAAGTCTTACAGCTAAAAGACTCCAGTCTCCTGAGAAAGTATTTAGATTTGATCTGCTGATTCTCAAACATGTTCATGGATTCTCACCTCTGAAGTCAAGTGGCTTATCAAAGTATCCTTTTTATTATAAATCAGTAGAACGTGAAGAGCTCTACTAAATTCAATTTTCTCTATTTCCCCCCTAAATTTTTAAGCTTTAATTTTATCATCTGTGCCACTGAGGATAATAGTAGCAGTACCTAGTTTGTTGGATGGCTGTGAAGATTAAATGAGTACAAAGTGTTTGGCATAGTTTTTGGCCTATGGGCAGTGCTTGGTGCAGGCAAAATTGGTATTGTTATTACAGTACTATTTTTAGTATTGTTATTAATAACACTGAGTTGATATATACCTGTTTCACACCTGTTGCCTGAAAATCCTGGTTGACATTTACAACTGTATGAATTTAATTCATCCACACAGGTGGCCTGATTTCTACATGGGTTAGACTGACATTCATTGATGTTCAATTCACAGTGTGAACCTGTGAAGCCGGCTGCACATAGGCATCTGAAAACAAAATGTTGTAACAATTAGAACAGTTGTAGGAAGTCTCCCATTTATGACAATGTTATCCGAAAAGACTTTGAAAATCAAAATGCTGGAACATACTTTCAACATCAAAATGCTTTAACTGTAGATTACTTTTTCCAGTTCACCTGATTAAACCTATATAAGATAAGATGTATTAGAAATGCTGTAGTAGCAAAAATAAAGTAGAAAGTAGTTCTGGTCCAGGTGAAATATAATTCACACATTGTGGTTTCTCTCCTCATAGGAGTTCTCAGAAAAATATGAAAAGTTCAGATGCTGTTCTAAAGGCTTTTATATGTTAAGCCAATTTTCATAACAATGAGGCAATACTAGTATGATTCCCATTTTACAGATGAGCTAAACTGTGGCTCAGAGAGGCTAAAGAATTTGCCCAAGTTCTATTGCTACCAAGTGGTGGAGTGGGATTTTGGATCAACCTGTATCCTTTTTCTTAATCAGGATGCTATACAGTTTCTGTTCTATGCAACAAACCATTTTAAACTCATCAGAATGGAAAGTATATCTGGTAATGTCAAATGTTGACAGAAGTGTCATAAAATCGGAAGTCCCATATAGTGAGTAGGACTACAATTTGGCAATGTCCTGAGAAGTTGAGAGTTTGTGTTCCCAGAGCCCTATAAATCCATGTCTTGTTTTCTGCTCTAGGAGATAATTCCACAAGGTGCACAGGGACCCATATAACAAATGTTCATAGCAGCATCATTCTTTTTTATTTTATTTTATTTTATTTTATTTATTATTATTATTATACTTTAAGTTCTAGGGTACATGTGCATAACGTGCAGGTTTGAACTATCACAAGAACAGAAAAACATAGCAGCATCATTCTAAATGTCTATGGAGAGGAGACTGAGAAAATGAATCATAGCGTAATTAAGTCCATCATGTAATGGAATACTAAGGAGCAATTGAAATGAACAAACCAGAGCCAAATGTCACCACCTTGATAATACTTGAAAATATGCTGAGTGGAAAAAAAAATTGCAAAAAGAATATGTATGTTATGATGCCACTTATGTAATATGTAAGTTATATACTGTTTATAGAAGTCATATATGTAGCAAAATATAAAACCCAAATAAGAAAGATATATTCAGACTTCAGGACAGTGATTACTGCTGGGGGAAGAAGGTGAATATGTGTGTGTGTACGTGCACGCATGTGTATGCGTGTGTGTGTTGAAGGGAATCCAGCCCTACCTTTAGAACTTATGTCTTTAAAACAAAAGATGTGAATCAAATATGGCAAAATACTAAGGTTTGATAATCACAGTGATCAGTACATGACTTTTATTGTTATTTGTAATTTTCCGTGTGACTGAAATAGTTTGTAATTTAAAAGGACTGGTCCAATAAATGCGAGTTAATGTTATCATTACTAGCATGTTCGTATGAAGACCTCTTTGATACTGACCTAACAGTGACTAGCAGGAATAACTGGTGGTTGGCGGATTTAAGCAAAACTCTCAGTTGGAATTGGGAGATCTTTACTGGGTCTCTGCATTTGATGGTAAATCTATTTTGACTATAATTTCACTCACCTTTGTCCTCCTGTGTTTGGTGTCATTACAACACTATCATATCCTCATCTATGAAATAGATTCACTTTGTCAACAACCTACATTCCTTCTGAATTGGGAGCGTGTACCTTCACCTTTCTTCTAGTTAGGATTTGGACAACTTTGGTATTCATCAATCGTTTTAAACCCAGGAAAGAGTTTGGAACTCTTGTTGTTCATCTGGAAACTTCTCATTGCCTACAGTTAGGTATATGCCAGAAAATGTCAAACACCCATAAGAAAGCAGTGCTACATGATAAGACCTCATTTCCATATTGAAGGTGAGGATATTGTGGGAGGATGGTAATGGCAGGGGGTTGAACTAGAAGGAAGGGGATTGGGAAATGTTGCAATTGGGCTAGACCTCTTTTGTTCTTTTTTGGTTTTTACTTTTGTAAACTTATAAAACCAGCAGCACCTGGAGGACAATACAGTTTTCTAAAATTTTGCAAGCAAGAGAAATCTGTCTTGTGTACTACAGATATGCTGTCTCTGTACTCCCCTGCAAAGAGTGGGGGATGGAACAGGATAGTCTTGATAATGACAACAGGAGAGGGTTGTTTTTCCAACTGTATTCTACTGACACTTAAGAGCTGCCTCAGGGAGACATAGTCTTTCTCCCCCTCAAACACTACTATTTTCAGCCACAAAAGCTTAGCTTTTATTATTTTACTTTTTTACATTCATGTTAGATTTAACAAAAGGTTACTAAAAAAGTTTCAAAATTGTGGACATAGAATATAGATGAGCACTATCACAATATGACTGCAGATTCCATTTTGATTTTATCTGGTATAAAAACTTCAGCTAAAGCACGGGTGGATCACCTGAGGTTAGGAGTTCGAGACCAGCCTGGCCAACATGGTGAAACCCCATTTCTGCTAAAAATACAAAAGTTAGCCAGGACTGGTGGCAGGCACCTGTAATCCCAGCTACTTGGGAGGTTGAGGCAGGAGAATCGCTTGAACCCGGGAGAAGGAGGTTACAGTGAGCCGAGATCCCGCCATTGCACTCCAGCCTGGGCAACAAGAGCAAAACTTCGTCTCAAAAATATAAAAATAAATAAATAAATAAAATATGGGCTTTGTCTAGTGCTACTGTGTTTGCTTCTGAGTAATTATATTTCCTTTCATCTTTTATGACTTCCCCAGTATAGAACGTTAGTTCCCAAAAGTGGCTGTGCATCAGAATCATCGGGAAACTTAAGCCATAACAGGTTGCCTATTTTAAAATGGTAGGCTCTACTCCGGGCTTAGTGAAGCAGAAATGGCGGTAGGAATATTCAACTGTAGCCTATCCTTGGGCCAGCATTTGAAAATGGCTGACTTGAGACTCAAAGCAATACTCCATAAAGGCTGCAGAAACACTGACTAGTTTAAAAAAATTTTTAAAAAAGTGAAAAAAATCAGCCTTTACCTGAAGCTATTGGCACCGTCTTTACAGGTAGCTCCATTTTTGCATGGCCGACTGAGACACTCATCCACGTTCTTTCCACATCGGGTACCCAAAAATCCAGGTGGGCATTTGCACAAGAATCCCCCAACCTGGTCTTCACAGACTGCATTATTTAAGCATGGGTTTGACTGGCATTCATTGACTTCTGTTTCACAATGCAGGCCTGAGGATGGAGAAGGAAGAGAAACAACCCAAATGATTAATTCCCTGGGAACACTGTAATTAAAGTGTTGACTCCCTGGAGGATGCTGCTTCTAGAGGCTTGGAATGGAGGCTGTGGAGCCACTGGCCCATCAAACTGGTTTGAGATCCATTCTGTAATGGGCTCTGGCTTTTGCAAGTCATTTTTTTGTGGACTCTGAGTTTTTTTCTTTTTTTCTTTTTTTTTTCCTGAGACAGAGTCTCGCTCTGTCTCCCAGGCTGGAGTACAGTGGCGCGATCTCGGCTCACTGCAAACTTCACCTCCTGGGTTCAAGCGATTTTCCTGCCTCAGTCTCCTGAGTAACTGGGACTACAGGCACCCATCACCACACCTGGCTAATTTTTGTATTTTTTTAGTAGAGACAGGGTTTCGCCATTTTGGCCAAGATGGTCTTGAAATCCTGAGCTCAAGTAATCCACCTGCCTCGGCCTCCCAAAATGCTGGGATTACAGGCGTGAACCACCATGCCCAGCCGATAATCTGCTTTTTTAAATCTTATTTTTTTTTTTTGAAATTAAGCTTGGTAATAGACATCTAATTGAGATAATGTTAAGAAATAAAGCTAGTAAATTCCATTCAAAACTTGCCTGTTTCTTTGATCTTGCCATTTTCCTTTACTGGCCACTTTCTTTCTTGGATTTACCCTTTAGCAATTAAGCATACACTTTTAAACCATATTATTGTGCATCTGTCTGCAATATGATATTACATATGTCTCCAGTTCCTTCTTGAAAGTTTGCCTTAACACACACACACCCCATATACACAAATTATTTTTTGCTGAACCATTTGAGAGTAAATTGCAGACCTGCATGCCCTTTCACCCCAAACATCTCAGCATATATTTCCTCAAAAAATGAAGACTTTCTCTTACATAATCACCATGCAGTCATAAAATCCAAAAATTCACATTAATATATATCATGTTAAGAAATGTACTAATTTGTGGTGGTTTACAAGATTTTAAGACAACTTGGGAAGACTGGAAACATCTTACCTACATATCCTTTCACACATGTGCAACGATAGCCAGCCACACCATCAACACAGATTCCTTTATTTAAACAAGGACTGGAGCTACACTCATTTATATTTTCTTCACACCGCAGACCTGCAAAGAATTATTAATCTTTGAACTACAGAAAACTTGAAAGGACTTTAAGACCAATAGTTTCCAAGCAAGTTGTTCAGGCATTGGAATAGGGAAATTGGAAGTCATGGCTAACATGTTTGTGACAAATTTAACTCTTTGCCAAACATGTTGAAATAAAATGTTTCTTCTATTCTGTGAACTGCAAATTTTTTCTAGCAAGAATCCTAACATATTCAGCATGCAATGGAAAATGATAACTATGAATATCTGGCCATATTTTTTTAGTTAAAAAGATGTGTGATTTTGTTTTAAAATTATCCTCCTTATTTGTTTGCAAGTTGTTCTCTTTTTGAGTTTATTCCTTTTAGAGTTAAGTGGTAACAGTTACAGCGTTACAGTTACAAAGTTGGCAAAAATTATGGGAGAAGTCTATTGAATGAACAAAATAACTCATTTTCTTCTGCAAATTAGGGAAACACAGCCAAATTTCTGTGCAGCTGTCCCATGTTTTGTGTGAACGTAATTTGAGAACAACTGATGTAATTCATATCCTTTATTTTATACATCTAGAATTAGATCCAAAGAGGTCTGTGACATCGCCAAGGACAGGCACAGAAATGAGCCTAGAACCATAAATCTTCACATTCAAGAACATACGTACAAAGACTCCTTGGGTTGAAGAGTTGAGGATGCTTAAATTTATACCTCATGGAATTATGTAACACATATCTAATAATTTATGCACCTTGACATTAAAATATGCTAAAAGGAAATTTCACAATGAAAGTTGTTTTTATGAGAATAGTAAATCTAACATAAAATCTACACTTTCATATGGACCATAATGAACACTTTTTTTCACAGTAAATCCACACAATAAATGTAATGTCTAATAAATAATATACATAATGCATTTCACATCTAGTAAATATATATTTATTTAGAAACTTGGTTCTACTTTTCTCATAGTATGTGTCTACCATTCTGGTCACAAGTTTTTACTATGATTCAACTCCAGGTGTCACTAACATGAGATTTGGAATTTTAAATAAAGAAATGTAGGATACAGGTGCATAATTTTAATACGGTCTATGGAAATGCAACCATAGGCAGACAGTGGAGAGGAAAGAGCATGAGAAAGAAAATGGGAACCAGGCCAGCAATCTGGATGTGGTTCCAGCTGTTGAATACACACCCTTGGTTAGGGGTGATGAGTTTGCTGGTCTGCAGTTGGTCTCACATCATGTGGGCTTCTTAGAGTATAAGCTGAGAGCAATTTGTTTCAAGATACATGTGATGTGGCCCCTAAACATAGGCCTGGGACAACCAGTGTTGCATGGATTTGAGATACAGAAAATATGAGTTGTTCCAAATGATTACTACTGTAAATTATGTTAAACATTTTCATGTCTCTATGGAAATTGTTTTTAGATACACATAAAGTTATGGTTCCTCTGAAATGTTATCAGGATTTTACTAAACTTTTTAAGATATAGAAAATTATATACCCACATGTATTAAAATATATATTCAGATATCTTTTTAGTATAATAATGATTTTATGAGTTAGGTACAATGCTGGATGATTTATTTGACCTCAGTACTCTCCATAATAATATTATGGGGTCATTACTATTTATAAAGTAGTAAATCCTAGTCTATTTTATTAGAATATATCATCAGTATTATAATAATTATAATGTGGGTTAACAAGGGAATTTAGAATAAGATCACTGTTTCTAAACTATTTTTGTGAGAAGGTGCTGAAAACTGCGACTCTTGACTTAAGATATACACTTACAGAAATCTCCAAACTGCTTTCCACAGTGGCTGAACTAATTGACATTCCTAAAAAAGTGTACAAGCATGCTGTGTTTTTCTATAACGTTGCCAGCATGTGTTATTTTTTGACTCTTTAATAATAGCCATTCTGGCCGAAGGCAGTGACTCAGGCCTGTAATCCCAGCACTTTGGGAGGCTGGGGCAGGTGGATTACTGGAGGTCAGGAGTTTGAGACCAGCCTGACCAATATGGTGAAACCCCGTCTCTACTAAAAATACAAAAAATTAGCCGGGCACGGTAGCATGCGCCTGTAGTCTCAGCTACTTGGGAGGCTGAGACAGGAGAATTGTTTGAATCTGGGAGACAGAGGTGGTAGTGAGCTGAGCTCAGGCCACTGCACTCCAGCCTGGGCGACAGAGTGAGACTCCATCTCAAAAAATACAAAAATTAAAAAAAAAAGTCATTCTGACTGGTGTGAGATGGTATCTCATTGTCATTTTGATTGGCCTTTTCTGATGATTAGTGATGATGAGGTTTTTTTCGTGTTTGTTGGTTGCTATTGTCTTCTTAGAGAAGTGTCTGTTCGTGTCCTTTGCCCACTATTTAATGAGGTTATTTGTGTTTTGCTTGTTGATTTAAGCTCCTTATAGATTCTGAGTACTAGGCCTTTGTCAGATGCATAGTTTTCAGGTATTTTCTCCCATTCTGTAGGTTGCCTGTTTACTCCATTGATGCTTTCTTTTGCAGTGCAGAAGCTCTTCAATTTAATTAGGTCCGACTTGTTAATTTTTGTTTTTGTTGCAATTGCTTTTGGGAACTCAGCCATAAATCCTTTGCCAAGGCCGATGTCAAGAAGGGTATTTCCTGAGTTTTCTTATAGGATTTTTATAGTTTGAAGTTTTACATTTAAATCTTTAATGCATCTCAACTTAATTTTTGTATATGGTAAAAGGTTGGGGTCCAGCTTCATTCTTCTGCATATGGTTGGCCAGTAATCCCAGCAATCCCATTACTGGGTATACATCCAAAGAAAAATAAATCATTCTACCAAAAAGACACATGCACTTGTGTGTTCATCCCAGCGCTATTTACAATAGCAAAGACATGGAATACACCTACATGCCCATCAATGGTGGATTAAAGAAAATGTGGTACTTATAGATCATGGAATATTATGCAGTCATAAAAACTCCACAAAATCATGTCCTTTGCAGCAACATGGATGCAGCTTCAGGCCATTATTCTAAGTGAATTAAAGCAGGAACAGAAAGCCAAATACTGCATGTTCTCACTTAAAGTGGGAGCTAAACATTGAGTATGCATGGAATAAAAATAGGAACAATAGATGCTAGGTACTATTAGAGAGGAGAAGAAAGGCGGTGTGGGCTGAAAAGCTACCTATTAGGTATTATTCTCACTACCTGGGTGACGGAATTATCTGTCCTCCAAACCTCAGCATCTTGCAATACATCCGTGTAACAAAACTGCACTTGTACTCTCTGAAGTAATAAAAGTTGAAATTATTTAAGTCATAAATAAAAAGATTTTGAATGCTAAAAAATAACACTTAAATATGTATTTATTTAAGTTAAAAGGAGAGGCATAGTGGTCCATAACAATTTCAAGGATACATGTGCCTAAAGTCCACAGTTAGTAATAATTATACACACACATATTCATACAACACACACACGAAAATCCAAAGATATATATACACTTATATATATATATACACACACACACACATATATATGCACACACACTTCATAAATTCAGTAAAATATTAGTAAAAAGCTTGGGGAGGACCTTGTATTTGTAGTAGGCTTTACATATTTTCTGTCATTTCCTCAGAAATTTCCTCAGAATTACTGGCCAACTATATGCAAAAGAATGAAACTGGACCCCAACCTTTTACCATATACAAAAATTAATTTGAGATGCATTAAAGATTTAAATGTAAAACTTCAAACTGTAAAAATCCTGTAAGAAAACCCAGGAAGTGGGTCATTTCTGTCATTTCCTCACCTCTATTTTTAAAAATGAAGAAACAGGTTCAGTGAAGTTAAACGTCTTGTCCAAGGTCACACATCTAGCTGGCAAAGATGGGAACACGCCTGCCTGTTTTATAAAGCAATTACATACTGCCATATTGATATCTTGTTCTCCTTACATAACAGAATAAGGACAAGAACACATTCCCAATGCATATAAGTAATATTAGAAAATTCGCTTCTTCAATATGTTTATAATATCCTATAAATGTATCTTTGACACATTCCAAATTTATCTTGGTGATGACATCTTAATGATTCAAAGTTTCATATTGTTAAAAACAAGAAACCTTCCCCTTACCTGTGTAACCTGATGGGCACTCACAAATGAATTCCCCAACTAGGTCTTTACAAACTCCATTGTTGAGGCAAGGCAGTGGGCTGCACTCATCGATGTCTGTTTCACACTTTAAGCCTACAATGTAAACCACATACTGAGGGACAATCCAAGGATGGGATTAACCGAAACAGAACTATGATCATTTAAAGGTAATTATCTCAATAATCAGAATTTTTAAGTGGGTAGTGGTAAAGAAAAGGGCAATATTCATTAAGTGCTACCATCTATTAAGTATTTAATGAAGGTACTACCTCTTTCTAAGCAAACAAATTTAAGATTTTCTTATTTTTTTATTTTATTTTATTTTTTTTTTAAGGAGTCTCTCTCTATCGCCCAGGCTGGAGTGCAGTGGCGTGATCTCGGCTCACTGCAAGCTCTGCCTCCCGGGTTCACGCCATTCTCCAGCCTCAGCCTCTGGAGTTGCTGGGACTACACGCGCCCGCCACTGTGCCCGGCTAATTTTGTTTTTGTATTTTTAGTAGAGATGGGGTTTCACCGTGTTAGCCAGGATGGTCTCGATCTCCTGACCTCATGATCCACCCACCTCGGCCTCCCAAAGTGCTGGGATTACAGGCGTGAGCCATCGTTCCGGGCCAAGATACTCTTATAAAGATACATAGAAGATAGCAAAAGATCCCAAATTGGAAGTGGGTTGGGGGCACTTGGAAGCATAAAATGGAGCCAGGAATTATGCTAATTTCAAAGTGAAAGCTACAATATCATCTGTACTTGCTACCAAGGTCACCTGGCTGAGGGGTGGAGGTGGGGCTAAAGCCTGCCAGATCGCAGCTCACATGCCAGGTGTCCCAGAGTGGCTGCATCTTCCCACAGGGAGCACATGGGCTTTCTACGGGCTAGCTGTGCTGGAAACCCATTTTCTTTCTCAGGGGCCTCCTCACTAGCATCAGCATTACCTGGGAACGCAATAAAAATACAAATTCTCAGGCTGTACTCCAGACCTACTGAATCAGAAATTCTGGGGCTGGGGTCCAGCAATCTGTGTTTTTAACAAGCCTTCCAGATGATTCTGACACACATGACTATTTGAGAACCACTGTTCTATATTATGCCCTCTCTCAACCACCACTCATTTACAGAATTCCCAAACAAGATCCTTTATTTCTTATGGAACATCAAGGTAAATATTTTTATAAAAATTCACAAAGACACACATGCACACAACACGAGCCAGCTATACTGGAATGCCAATATTCTAGATAGATCTCGACTATACTTTGTTTTTTGACTTGCCTTTTGCTTATCTTGTGGTGAATTCCTTTACTTAAACACTATTTCTCATTAAAAACTTTCAAGTTGGTTGTATAACATTGAAAAAAAAAACTGTCTACAATAAAATGATTATTTTAAAGTAATTGCAATTTTAAGGTATATTTCATTTCTCCTCAAAAATTATGTTTCTGGACTCAAGTCGAATGTGAACCAAACTGTTAAAAACCCCCATAATTCTTACATAATTCCTACATAATAAAGTCCAAAGCCAAATTGTTTTTCTAAGCACAGCTTCCAGAAAGCTAGAAACAAAGCAACAAATCATAGCTATTCACAAGAACTTCTATTAGTGTGTAGCATATGAGAGAAACTGCCAGTTCATTTAAAAATGTTTATACTGGACAATCTGTTCTATGTGGAGTATCATGCATATAATTTTTGACAGAATGAAACTTTGAACATGACCCCTGGAATTGTATTTCAATTTAAATTGTAGGTTATGATAAAGACTCATAGGGAAGATGAGTCTTTATCCAAAATGGGCAAAGAAAACTGTTATTTGTGAAGTATGTATAATTTTTTCACCTATTATCTTGTTCAACAAATTTTGGCACATTTACACAGTCTAATGTATCTTACCAGATACATTTAATATGCTAAAGTTTGATACTGTAAGTCATAATGATTTCATATAAAAATATTAAAATCTACATTTCTCTCTGTTATTTACCTGTATATCCAAGTGGACAGAGACAAACATAACCACGCCCAAGTTGTTGGCAGGTTCCACTATTGTGGCAAGGGTTTAAGAAGCATTCATGGAAAACCTACCAGTAGCATAAAAAAATTAATAAGAGACAAAGCACTCTATGTATTTCAAAGCAGTCCTGATTAGAGTCAGAAGGTTTGCAACATTAGACAGCTCGTTCCTGTTTCCAGGTAAGTTCATTCAAGCTAGCTGGGCTGCTGCCTGAATAACACTGGTGCCTGCCATATAGGGAAGCAAATGATATATATCATTCTTGGGTGATGTTCTGGTAAACCTAAGGAGCATTTCTAAATGCTGGCTGCATGCTAGAATACAACTGATATTTTAAAAGTATACTAAGGTCAGGGCCTCAACTCCGATCAGCTAAATCAGGATCTCTGGGAGTGAAGTCTGTACATTACTGTCTTAAAAACTTGGCCAGGATTCTGTTATGCCTCCATGTGACAGCCACTGCTTTAGGAGATCCTACAAATTCCTATGTCCACTAGGCTCAGTTTGAAATATGACTTATAAAGTCCTAACAAGTCATTATGTTTGGACTGGGCTGTAGGAAGTTGAAATCAGAACTATATCCCCATTATCCATGAAAATACTAAAAGGCAAGGAATTCATGACATTGGGCAAGGTGAATTCGGAGTAATGACTGAATCTATTAAAGTAATCAAGACTTAACAACTAGTCTTTTAAAAAAATACAGCATTTGGTTTAGCTATATTAATTTACGTTTCTTAATTTTTAAGAATTCATACCTTTTCCCAAGAAATCTTTTTTTTTTTTTCCCGCTGGTGAAGAAATTTAAATAATTTTCATGAAAGTTGGGTAACTCTTCCTGCCAATTAGAAAAGCCCTTTCGTTAAACCAAATTCCCTTACTCAAATGATGGGTTGTGTTTGTGGTAAGTGTTTATACTGAATCAAAAGGCTCCCCGTATCTACTCATTCTTATTGCCAGGCATTTCTGGGAAAAACTCTCATTTTTGGTACTTAGAACATCTAATGTTGCATTTTGGGAATGTTCTAAATAGGAGTCATTGTAAATACAATTATTCATTTATAAAATTCATAGATCTTGATTACCTAAAATTTCAATCCTGGTCCTTTTCCTGTGTGTGACACGTAAAACGACAAATTGCTTTCCAAGCATTCCACTAGAGAAAATTTTATGGAAAATGAACTTGCCTGACTGCTGATTTCATGTCTCTTTTTAATATGTCCAAGAGAGGCAGGGGGAACCACACTTTCCTCTGCTGCTGAGAAAGTTGAACTGAAACCTAATCAATTAATAGAAAAACATGTCAGTGTGGTACATATGGCAGTAAGTGGACTACATCTAACACTATAGTCAAGATTCTGGTTGTTAGAGTCGGTAAAGCCACATACATTTTGTTTGACTTATATTTTAAAAAAGGAAAACAGAGATGGATGGCATACATCATTACATCCTAGACTCTTAGAAAGAAATTTAGAAATTATCAAGTTCAGTGTTTCCAAAACAAGACTCTTTGTGCCATGGTCATCAAAAATACCTCAGAAGGACAATTTAACAAGTCCAGACGCCCAAATTCACTGAAAATAGTAATATTCAGAACTGAAGCTACAACAGAGACAGGGAAAAGTAAGAGTCCAACATAGGATTCCATAAGAAGTTTACTTATAAACATTCATTCCATAATGAAGTTTACTTACTTGAACATTCTGTGATGGATCTGGAACCAGCAAACGGGGTAGTTCCATAAAAGGGACAGGCCAGGCAGAAGGCCTTCCCTGCATCAGGTTGGTAATAGTCGCGAGGACATGGATGACAGGGCATTAACCCAGAACGTGAGAATTTTCCTTCTGGACAAGGAACTGCGGAGGTAAAAACAAATCGTATGTGCATATAAAGTAACACACTCTACCTTTGAAAGAAGTGATTTAATCTTTGCATATAAGAAATCTACTCAATTACCTATATAATCTCTTCCATATATTTAATACCCTTATCATCTTATCACCCAGGTAAATGTTTTGTTGGGTTTCCTTCCTGTCTTTAATCACACACGTTAATTTAATGAGGTTTAGAAATGGCCATATTATTCTGATTTTTCCACCTAAAACAATATTGTGTTTCCCAAATCATTCCCCCAGATTATATAGATTTTAATAAAAGAAAAATGTTGCATCTCATTGACAGACCATGATTGATCTAACGTTTTTTCTACTATTGGATATTTAGATTGTTTTCATTTGTTTGCCATTATAAATAATGATGAAGTAAATTTTTTACATAATCTTTGTATTTAGCTCTGATTATTTCCTTGGGATAACAGTTGACTTTGAGTGGTTGAATTAGAATAATTGGATTTGAGTAGTTGAATAGTTAAGTCTAAAGATTTGAAAAGAATAAAGCCATTGATATATAGTGCCAAATCATTAAATAAGTAGTTCCAATTTATACTCCCATTAGTAGTGTATGAAATCACTCTTTTCACTGCATGCTCTTCAGCACTGGCATTATTAATTTTTTTCCAATTTGGGATGAAAATGGAATTATAGTTATTTTAATTTGCATTTTGATGATAAATGAAGTTGCTTTCTTCTACTTATTAGAAATTTTATTTCTCCTGAATAGTCTATTATTTATGGAGGATTTTTAATGTTTCTATATATTAAGAATATGAATCCTTTGACATACTTAGACTATTTTTGCCAGTTTGTGTTTTGCCTGTTAATTTTGTTTAACTGCTTTCATGAGCAAGTAATTATTACTCCTCCTTATTTAATACTAAAATAATGTAAGGTAATATATTTACCTATGCAAGTAGCTTTAGCGAAATCGGTAGTTTTATCATTAGTATTTTTGTTTGCTATTTTCTAAGTAATAAGAATTGTAATTTGATTTTTTGACACAATTATTTTCAGAAAGATGGCTTAAAATGTATAAATATTTGAAATTTGTATATGAGTTTTTATTAATTTGTTTTTAATCATCTTATGGTCAGAGAATTTATATTGCATAACTGCTACCTTTTGAATTTTGAGATTTTTTTGTTCACTATAATTAAAAATAATACTTCATTGAAAGTGTTATCACCATAGAGTAAATAGTATAATGCGTATTATTAGTTCAGCCTTATCAATCATGTACTATAAGTTCTCTATGTCTTTACTGATTGCCTACTTGATCATTATAAATTCAAGGGAATGGAGGGGCATGGTGGCTCAGGCCTGTAATCCCAGCACCTTGGGAAGCTGAGGTGGGCAAATCACTTGAGGTCAGGAGTTCCAGACCAGCCTGGCCAACATGGCGAAACACCATCTCTACTAAAAGTACAAAAATTAGCCAGTGTGGTGGCAAGCACCTGTAATCCCAGCTACTCAGGAGGCTAAGGCAGGAGAATTGCTTGAACCCGGGAGGCAGAGGTTGCAGTGAGATGAGATGGCACCACTGCACTCCAGCCTGAGCAACGGAGCAAGACTCCGTCTAAAAAAAAAAAAAAAAAAAAAAAAATTCAAGGACGGTATTAAAATCTTCCATGAAAATTTTATTTTTACAATTTATCATTGTGAGACATACAGATTTTGTTGTATTTTGCTGCTGTTATTTGATGACAGAGCTTTATTATGACTAACTTATACTGCTTGTGAATTTCGTAAAAATGACTCTTTTCCTCATGTGATGCTATTGGGCTTTGAATTGAACTTTTTCATAAACTCACTTTACCACCCCCCTACTTGCTTGTTTTTTTATATTCATTGGTCTGGAAATCTTATTTTTAACCTTTCACTGTCATTTGTGTTAAGCTTTTTGTAAAGAACATTCATTTGAGAATTGTCATTTAACCAAATCTGAAATTCTCTTGCCAAATAATGAGTGGAATATTAACCAAATTAAAAATGGCCTCAAACATAAAACAAACTTGGATTTTCTTCCATGATGTTTTGTTGCATTTGGCAGAGGGTAGGGGGACAGAGTACTCATGATTTAATTCTTTGGTTGGGGTTTTAGACAGCAACCCAAGTATGAATTCAGATTGGGTGTGCCCTTTCCTTGGATGAACTGGCATCATATGGGTAGATATTAAAGCCATTATAAACTAAGAAAACTATCAAAAATACTAAGACTTGTCTGCATAAATGTAAGTATGGAAGACAGAACACAAAAAGTAGCTGCTCAGGATGTCAGCATTCTTATCATTTAGGGTTTGGTGTCCTTACAATAAAAATAGTACAGCAGAGATAATTAGCAGTATGGCTGAAAAATTTAGAGATGGACTGAGGTTCAAGGGAGCAAGGTATGTCATGTCGTAGCATCTCTTTTTTACTGACTTGAGAAAAAAAAAACAAAGCATTTGTGATAATCTCAAGACATTTAGATCGGAAATTTAAAACAAAAATAGCCAGACAAATTTTTTGCTAAAGACTCTTTTATGCAATTAACAAAAGAGCTCAATGAAGAGATGGTAATTCAATCAAGAGATGGCAGAAAATATCATAGATTTTAACGCAACTTTAGAAAAAAATATTTCTTGCAGGTTTGGTCTTTACATGCATAAAATTTACATTTTTAAACTATTTTTATTTCACTAAGAACAAGCTAATTTACTGTTTGATTGATCTCAGAGTGCTAGGTAGCGCTCTGTTATTCACACAAACTGTAAACTTGCTTAGTTTAAAATGGGTTTCCTCAATCTTCAGTTTCTAAAAGTGATTGCCTATTTGGAAAAGGTAAGTCACACACAGCTAATTAGTTAACTGAAAGTATCAATCTTCCGCTGGTAAAAGTACAAACTTTTGTTTGAGAGAGTATCTCTGAGTATGTATGAAATGCTGAAAAGATAAATTCCATCAGCAAAACTCAGGATGCTGTAATGAATTAAACCTTTTTTTACATATAATTTTCAGCACAAAGATGCTCAAAAAGATATTTATGCCCCTAGAAACTGACACAAGGTAAAAAATTATACTAAGATGTAATAGTAATAAAATACTAACATTTCAAATAAATAAATCTATTAGCTTCTAAAAACACCTAACTCATCATTGTAATGTCTATACCTTTTAGCATAGAAAATACAAAATAAATTTGCATGTGCAATTAGTTTAAGTTATTGTCCAAGGGCAGACATTGTCATCAGAAGTATATTTTCCTGCAGTGGTCAATGAGCATTTAATAGAGTATGTATATATGCAGTAAACATATTCACACACACATATATATGTATAAACATACACATGTACATAATAGTGGCACTATCTAGTACGTAATACAGTACTAAACACATACGCATACACACACACATAAATACACAATTCCTAATGAACTGGTGTCATGAGAAAAGAGGGGTGGATGTTTCATTTTGATTCTTGGCCAAAGAAACTAGTCTCCCAGTCAAGAAAAATGGAACAAAACCCTCTTTTCACCTCCTCTATTGGAGAGAGAGAGAAAAAAATAATCTAAGTATACCAAAATGATATTAAAATCAAATCACAAACAGTGCATGGAAATGACCAGGAAAAAAATGTCATATCACTTGTGCTGCTCTCTGACAGTGTTAAGGGCAACACATACAGACCTGGAGCCAAGTGGATTTTGCCTTTTCAATGGGTTTTCTGACTACAATTAATAATACTATATTGTATACTAGAAATTTGCTAAGAGAATTTCAGCTTCTCTTACCACACACACACACAAAGAAGGGCAACTATGTGAGATGATGTATATGTGCATAAGAATATCATAACATCATTTTGTACACCTTAATTATAGATCATTTTAAATAAATAAATCAGTTTCCTAAGACGAGGTCAGAGGTCAATGACTTCCTGAGCCTCCTTTTAACTTCGTTCTGGAGAGTCAGGGTAAAAGGTGGTGTCGCCCAGTCTAAACATCATCTTTTCTTCTCCTACAGGATCATATATTAACAACAACAACAACAACAAGTCACCTGTGGAATTCTTCAGATAAAAATTATTTTTAATTAATGAAAAATTTCAGACTCTTGAGTGTGTACCTACAAACACAAGAATATGTAATAACCTAAGAAGTTATAAAAAGCAAAATGTACAAATACATTACTTTAACAAACTAATATACTTTGTGATACTTAAACATGATTGCTGTCTTGAATAATAATATTTTAAGTTCCACATGATAGAGAAATACAAAATCAATGTCTTGGCAAAAAATAAGGTAAATGGTACACTATAAAAATAAATCAATACTGAAAGATAGAAAATAAATCAATAGCAAAAATAATAAATCAATACCAAAAGAGAAAATAAAGAAAAAGGAAGGAAAGAAAGAAAGGAAGAAAAAGGCAGAAAGAAAGGCAGATAAAAGAAATAAAGAAGGAAAAGCAGGTGAAAGAAAAGCAGGTGAAAGGAAAAGAAAAAGGCAAAAAGAGAAAGGGAAAGAAGGAAAGAGAAAGGCAAAAGCAAGCAAACAAGAAAGAGAGAGAAAGGAGTTAAAAACTAAGAAAAAATATATATAAGGGACCGTTTTAGAACTTATACATATTTAAGCTTAAAATAAAATGTTTATCCAGCACCGCAGAAGAATGTTAACTTTTGTCATTTGTAATTCCCACTCATGAGAAGCAGAATGTGGTTAAACTTATGCTAGGAATATTAGGAGAGTAGGGCCAGAAATTTAGAGACTTTCTGGGAATTATAACGCCTTAATTATAATAATTTAGTATTACACAAGCCTCAAGGTTTATTTAGGAAGCTAAGAGAAAAAAATTGTCAAATATGAACTTGATTCACTATAAAAATCCTAGTTGCTTTTGTGGTTGGAGGAAGTGGGCAGGAAGAGAGAATTTTTTACTGTGGACTTTCTGCCAAAATTAGTTCTTATATTGACAAAA